ATGTAAAAAAATAATGTATAACAACGTAGACAAAGTAAAACAATGTAAACCAAGGTAACTCCAAGGATGCATTTGAAAAAGAAGAAGAATAAAGTATAGTCTCCCTTCGGTGTCAGCGATGACGTCGACTATGTTGACGTAACGGCAACAACGTCGACGATGCGGACAGCAATATGGTACTCGAATCAACACCTTTAATGTATCAGGAGGAGGGAGTATTCGAATCATCTTCAACGGCTGCAACATCGTTGGAATCATCGGTGCGAAATATTTTCAGAAGTCCTGAAAAGCACCGCGACGAATGCGAGCATTTGATCAGTAATCTTGGACCTTTAGCAAGCGAATAATTGAGCAATTTCTTTAGCGGGTCACCGAAAAGTCAGGACAATGTGTACGGAGTGTATTTTCATAATAACAAACTGATGCTTGGAAATGTTGCGTTCGACGTGGAAAGCAACGATGATATTGTTATTAATAAAATTAGGTACAGGGGGGAACTCCAGGTCTCTACGAATTGATATTCAAAAGAATACCCAACGAGAACCTGTACACCGAGAACGATAAGGAAATTTATAGAAACATTCTCATCGCTACGCATGCGCACCGACGTGGTAATCAGATAATGGGAAATAAGGGCTACAAGTACAAAACTATTATAGGACCAATGTTCTCGGCGTTACGTGGAAAGGGTATAAATATTCCAACAACGATGATGATTGATTATAAATTAAATTGTTCGAATATTTATTACGTTAGTGACGAATGAAATGTCCATTGGTAAATTTATCAAATGGTTCGATAAGATGAGTATCCGTTGGAATTGCTGCGAAACCAATCAAACGTTATCCGTAGACGAAAATTGGGAGGACAGATTTAAAAATATTGAGTTCAGACTCGACGACGTTTGCTGACAAGTACTACAGATCGAGCAACAGCAAGATCTACTCGAGTTGTTGGTGTTAAAGAAGAAGAAGAGGAAAAGGAGAAGAAAAACAACTGAACCGAAAAACGAAAAAAATGCCTATTAATAAGTTTGGTACGTTGTATAAACAGAGTACGCTCGAGTCGAAAGTATTGGCAGATATTTCAACTTTTTATTCGATATGTAAAAATGATATACACGACAATGCCATATGCTCGATCGGCAATTTGTACGATGCGCGAGGCGCTAAGATCGCTCGCGTCGCAAATCCTACGACGAACGATGACGCGGCCACCAAACTGTACGTCGACCGCGTTTCAAAGATAGGCGATGATACTGTATCGTCATCGCTTCACGAGTACATGCAGAATAATGTGATTTGCTTCTCAACGGAATCGTACACGGCTCGAAACAAGAGGATCAAACATTTGGCGAAACCGCTGACGATGTATCGAAAAGAGGCGACGACGAGCTTCGTAGAAAAATAACGGCTAACGAAAAAATGACGAAGGATGTCGAACAGGCCGGTGTAAAATACAAGTCCGAACTCATGGATAAAATAACAGCTTGTAGCGACCAGTCATGCGCACAATAAGATCTTCAGTCTTCGTGCAAACGGCCAGCGTAATTTATGACTCTCCTTCGAAGAAGCTATTTTTGAGAAGACAAGTTCCAAACCTTGATAGCACATGTTTGCAATAGAGTCTTGTAAGAAACTCCTCAATAGCTAAAGAGACCGTCATAAATTAGGAGAGTTTCCGAAGGGTACTCGAAGCGGACCCAGCGACCCAAAGGCCATGTGGTCCGACGCGGGTGACCCGGAGGAAAAGTTCCACACGTTGTCACGTACAACTCATCATCCCCTCCGATTACCACGCCGTCCCGAAAATACGCAAAGAGTGTAAGGGGCAGGCGGTAAAAAGGACAAAATGAGCAACGCTGATTGGAAAGGCCCAACGCGTGGGGTTGACCAATCAGGGTTGCTCAAGAATTTTACCAGGGCAAACGGCAAAAGGAAAAAGAAAACTCGAGCACTGCATCGCGACTCGTCCGAAGACATAGTCCGCGAAAATAAAGAAGTTTTTACCACCGCACACGAGCGTACTAGTGATTTCGAACTATCCTACCCGAAAAGCTAACGAAAAAATGACGAAGGGTGTCGAATAGACCGGTGTAAAATACAAGTCCGAACTCGTGGGAAAAATAACGGCTAACGAAAAGTTGGCAAAGGATGCCAAACAGACTAGTGCGAAGTGGAAATCCTAACTCGCGTCGGTAAAATAACGGCTAACGAAAAGTTGGCGAAGGATGCCAAACAGACTAGCGAGAAATGCAAGGCCGAACTCATGGATAAAATAACGGCTAACGAGAAACTAATGAAAGATATGGAGCAGACTAATGAAAAATGGAGGAATAAAGTGTTGGCTAAAATATATAATTTTCAATACGACAGTGATCAGAAAATTAAATCAATTGATTCAGATAACGATGAAATTAGTGTGAAAATTGATAACGTATTTTCGGTATTGGAGCAAAAGGTTGAAGCGTTAAAACAGAATATGAAAGATGAAACGGGCAGCTCTATCGGTAACCAACTAAAAATCTTTGAGGAAAGTTTTCATGGTAAAATGAAGAAATTAGTTGCCGAGGAGTACTTCAAAGTTCTATAAATAACATGCTTTTTGCGGCAATTGCATCATTTTTGCTAGTGATTACGGTGGTAAAACATCGATTGTCGAAAGAAATTGGAGCAGCAGCAGCTGCAGCAACGATGCGTAAGAGCAGCAGCAGCAGCAAGAAATCGTCTCGTGATTCGCTAAAGCCGGTTATTCAAGACATCGTCACGAATATGGATACGAAACACGAACATCACAAGGACAATTCAATCAACACGAAGTATTTCAGTAGATTTATGTTCGATCTGATAAATACGATAAGAAAATACGTTCTACACGAATCAGACGAGAATGACGAGTTCGATGCATTGGGTCTACCTATGGAAAGTGTAAAAGTTCCTATTAACATCAACGACACTGCAACGAAGAAGTATTCGATATTTGGCAACTCCGGTTTTCGCCAGCGACTCAATAACAAAAAGTTATGTTGACGACGCGATCGATTCGTTGAAAAAAACATTTACGTACGACCTGTAGGAAAATATCGACGATGTTCAGTCGATGAAACGTGCGATTGAAACTCTCAAAAAATTCGTGACAAACGACGAATCCAATCACGAGAATCTGAAGAAACATGTTGAAACGTGCATCGAGCAAAATAATAAAAGTACCAATTTGTCGAGCTCGAGGATAAGTTACTCGAAATAATATGGATCGAGAAAAATTGAATGCTGTTGTGAAATTTGCTGGCAACATTGAGCAGAACCTTGCAAGTGTGGAACACAAAGTTAACACCAACTGGCCGAAAAAGATTGATAACCTTGAAAATCATATATTGAATAAAATCCGCAACTTAGAGGAAATTACGAGCACTGACAAAGCGAATCAGGGAAAGTTGGCACAACTTGAATTACTCGTAGACGAACTGCAAAATAAATTTACAGTAGGCGATTTTGAAACTGGGAAGGAATTGAATGAGAGGTTCGAAAGGCTTAATACTGCTATGCACAAGAGATTACTCGAGCTGACTGGGGAGGGAAACATAGTCGCGAAATTCGAACAGTTACATAAATTTTTATTAGAGAAATTTACCGAAATATACGGACAAATGCGGCGTATCGAAGTACAGCAGCAACAAAGTGTGCGCATCACTTTCGAGGAATTGGATTTTCGTATGAAACTTCGTTTCAGAGACTTGTTGACTTCAGCGGTAGCAGCAACCACAGAAGAGATTCCGATTACGCAAAAAGCGTCAATAGCTGAAAAGCCCATCGATAACGCAAAAAAGGACGCGACAGCGGTCGAAAAGACTCCGAGAACGCAAGGATAATTAAATTAGCGTATCTTAATTTCAAGCGACCGCTGATTCATCGATAACGCAAAAGAGAACGCGGCAGCGATTGAAAAAGACTTCGAGAACGCAAGGATAATTAAATCAACGTATCTTAATTTCAAGCGATCGCAGACTGATAAGGCGAAATCATGAACGACGACAAAGTGAACTTGGTGAATGAACTGCATGCTTCGGCGAGACGTTACTTCCGGCGGAGGCGACTGGTTACGCGAGGACTCGATGATCTCTGGCGAGCTGATATCGTTGAAGTTCAACCGTACGCAAGAGAGAATCGAGGACATCGATATATTCTTACGATAATCGATACATTCAGCAAGTATGCCTGGGCGGCTCCCTTGAAAAGCAAAAATGCTGACGATGTGTGCAAAGCTTTCGCGTCGGTGTTGAAAAAAGATCGCAGAATACCGAACAATTTGCAAACCGATATGGGGAAAGAATTCTACAATAAAGATTTTCAAGAATATCTGAGAAAACGTAACACCAACCACTATTCCACATTCAGCACTATGAAAGCGTCCATAGTCGAACGATTCAATCGTACATTGAAGAACAACATGTAGAAATTTTTTTCATTGAGCGAAAAATATCGTTGGATCGACGAGCTTCCCACGTTGATCAAGGACTACAATAATCAAAAACATCGCACCATTCGTATGCGTCCTGCAAACGTGAATCATAAAAATAAGAAGCATCTTTTATCTACCGTGTATAGTAACGTCAAGATCGTTGGTCCTGAGAAATTCAAAGTTGGCGACTATGTGCGCATCAGCAAGTTCAAAACCGTATTTGGCAAAGGATACACACCGAACTGGTCAACGGAAGTATTTGAGATCGCGACGGTGAAACGAACGAACCCCGTCACGTACCTTTTGGTTGATTTGCAGAACAAACCTATCGCTGGAGGATTTTACGAATACGAGATACGCGCTACCAAATATGCTGACGTGTATTTAATAGCAAAAGTATTGCGCCGAAAAGGAAATGAAATATATGTAAAATGGTTGGGGCTGGATACGTCACATAACTCTTGGATAAAGAAATCATCTGTACTTTAATTATATAATGCAATGTTTTATTTTTTCTCTAATTCCCCCACACGTATACAATTTCAACGATTCGCTTTCGATACGATTAGATCTAAACATAAAGCTAACAATTCGCAATCGATCAGGTAATTTCGTTGGAACAATTCGTTTGTAAAAATTGCGGTCGCATAATTCTGCTCGTTATTGGCGTTTTTTACAATGTCAACGAGCTTCGCGAATCTATCCTGAATTTCTGGAATATTTTCCAATAACCATGAATACATATGATCCATACATAACTCTAATTTGTACAAATTATCCATCGTCTCTTTCGTAACATAAATCGATGCTTGAGAATCAAACAACTTGATTAGGCTCATTCCATTAAAATTAACAATTTGTAACGATAAAGTCTCATGGATTTGTTTTTCCTTCTTGTCCGTATCGAGGTAACTGTGAATATAATCTCTAGTTTTCACCAGCTGTTTCCATGTAGTCATTGAAAAAGAAATCTCTGTTCCACGATTGTCCCCCAAGACGAACTCGACGCGCAAATTTTCATCCACGCGTACACAAATTTCAAGGAACTTGAAATAATTGCCGGCTATGGGGTATCTTCTACCCAAGATTCGTACGTTGCGCGGTATCTGCAATTGCTTCTGCTGCGACTGAGGTTGCGACTGCTGAAACGTCCGTTTCATCGAAGTGGAGTATCTATAAAAAGAAATAACATACAGTATTTTTTTTCTCTTTCATAAAAGGAACTTTTTATTCTCTTCAAACTTTCTTTACTTACCAGTAATTTTTGCAATCGTTGTGAGATCCATTTTTATGTAGAAAATTATTGGTTTGATTTGACAGTGCGAATATTATAATACTGAAGAACAACTGTGCAATAAAGTAATCTGTAAAACGCACTACTCGCTGTACGCAATGTCAAAGCTTATATACAATTCCCCTTACCATTTTTCCCCCTTCTTACACGTAAGATAACAATACAAGGTGCGTATACGCCCTTCCGCTTACAAATAAAAGTGAACCACGCGCGCAACATGGGATTCGGAACATCCATGAAATTATATAACCGCTTTTATTTTTTCTCACTCCCCCCCTTCAAGATTTTATAATGCTCCCAAGGAAGGGTTTCGATCGAATTGTTTAAAATGTATCGCTTATCAACATATGGACTCAATGCTAATTTACTATGCGATACTGAATACACTTGATGTTGTATAGACATTATCAATTTAACGCAAACTGATTTTTCTAGATGATCGTGAAGACATGCTAAATAGTCGTCAAAAGTTATATTTTTAATCGTAACGTTAGTCTTAATTCCTTTAATCTTTTTTACATCGTCTTCGTCCTGTACCTGAATCGCATACATTTTCGAGCGAAGACCCAACAAACTCTGTCATGATTTTGCCCCCGTTCTCGTCCTTCATTAATCCTAATACTTTATTATTCGCGATCGGAACACCGTACACGTTATTTCTGTCATAATTGGAAGTATCGTATCGGTGAATGTCACGTTTTATCATCTCGTACGCGTCGTCGCAAATAATCTGATAAATTAAACTGTCCGTGTCCGTGTACAAAATCCTGCATCTTTCTTGAAAATTTGGAAGCATGTAGCCATAATGAAAATCATACAAATGTAATTTTGATATGTCCAACACTGACATGCCTATGTAAATAGGTTTATAAAATTTAATAGAAAGCTGGTTCATTTGAACTGCGACAAAATCCTCGGAGAATACGGTACAGCTATGGAAATTTGGTCGAGCTATTAAACGCCCAGCACCGTATCGACCGCTCCATCGCGAGAGCAACTTTACGTTTACATGATTTCGAACGTTTTCCATCGTTTTTCCAAACACTGCATTGTTCATCAGTTTGAACAGATTCTTCGAGAAGTCATTGTTTGCGTTGGCGCGCAACCTCGTATTTAAATCTATGTAACGGCGTAACCAACATGATTGTTCAAACTTCAGTATCCGATGAATTTTCTTTAATTTTAAATTATACCTCAAACATTGCTGGAGGTATCGATAATGGAGAACGTAACGATTCTTATCGCTAAGCGTTGTCAACAGTTTCTTTTGCAACGCCCCAACCTCGTGAATCGGGCAAAATGGAAGATCCGCGTGAGCATCATGAATTTCCTGAGGATACTCTAAGTCGACCTCTAAAATGTACCCGACGGGACTGTCGATCGGCACGGAATCGATGTTGAAATTACTCGTATCGTCAACCCATTGGAAACCCCTGTGCGGCAAAGGCTGCGACATGGCCCAGCCATACAAATTATTAACATCGAAATACATCAGATAGCTGGACGGTTCGGCCGAATCGTACGTCGACATATACTTGTTATTCGCGCGCGCGTAACGATGCGAACATTGACTCAACCCACCTCGTATTCCCCGCTCCACGAACAAAAGCATGTCAACGTCGGTGAACAATTCCAACTCGATCTTCGTCAATTTTAGCATCGCGTCCCACGCGAAACCGGGCAACGTATAATAGTGCGCTGGATCGAGTTTATAATTCTCGAGCGACTTTTCGCGAAAATTTTCAAACACGTCGGCCAACAACAACACATCCAATTTCAAGTACAAGTCGCTGTACTGTCCTAACGTTTGTATACCGAAACGTGACCAAACTTCGTTCGCGTGACAATAGTCGACGTCGGATATCTCGCTGTCGCATAACTGATTATAAAATGCTTCGCGCGGTGGTAAACAAGTGTCGCTTAATTTGTCATAGGTCGATACATAGTCGTATGGGAAAACGCCTTTCCTGGTTAGAAGATGAAAATCATCGTTCGAAAGACGATTGAATTGGCTCCTCACGATATGCAAGTCGCTCTTGTCCAAGTACGACGACAACTTGTCCAGACTCGAATTCAAGAACTTGAACGAATCGATGAATCGAAACTTTATGCACTTCTTCCACGATTTTTTGATCGCATCTTTATTCCTCTTACTGTGTTTCGTGAAAGAAATGTACTTCTCTTTCGTCAGCGGTAACGCGTCTATTTTACCTTCAAACGCGTTTGCCAATTCTTTGATGAAAAAGTGTGCGTCGTAGCCGGACAAATTGTGAAAAACCACCGGTATCACGTACGAGGATTGATAGCTCAGATTGCAACGGCTGTGCGCCGGACCCCGATACGCACCTGTGAAATGACAATGATCATGCACTCGCACGTCGTCATTACCGAGTGGTTCTTCGCACACGTGACAATACGTGGCGGTACGAAAAGTTGAGATTTGCGCGGCGGTTAACGGAGCCATTGGAACCGTTCGATCAAACACCGGCTGCAATTTACAGCTCAACTCGTGCAACTTCGATGCAAACCATGTGATACAACCTTTCTCATCACGATAAGCCTGATACTCGCTCAACGAACTGTCGTATCGACAATGGAGGTAATAACCTACGCTGAAGGCATGGTGATGTTGATATCTACAGTAAGCTCCATGACCCTGATCTCTCTGCGTCTCCAGCATGCTTTCCAAGTCTGCGTAGATAACGAACTGTGTCGGTTCCTTGTATGCATAATTCTTGAACTTCAGCCACTTATCGTCTTCCGTCAGAAGTATCAAAGCACATTCATTCATTCGACTGCAATCAATCTCGCGAATGTTCAATTTTTCCTGCGATCTGAAATACTGTAGACACCTGAAAAAACATCATTTTTTTATTTTAGTTTTTCTCGCCCACCACCACCATCCAAAAGAAAGAAAAAATTTCCATGTGTGGATCTTACCGATCGCAAATATACTTATTGAGCTGCGTGCTGATCTGAGATGAAACCAGACAAGATAAATTCCTAATACATAGATAATGATTGCGCAAGTTTTCAGAGTCATGTATGAGCAGCAAATTTACATGTTTCTCCCGTTTCCTTGAGGTCAAATGCAACCTCTGACATCTTTCTTGTTTTCCTCCCCATTCGAACACGTTCACGGAAACGTCGTTCGCTTTTTCGAACTTTGGTATGTCCTTGAACAACATCGGCAATTGGAATCCTTCGGTGCGGAGCACATCGCTGTAATGTGGATAGGATGACGTGCGATTCAAATTATTTTTAGCTGGATATAGGCTTGCCACCACTGCCCAATAGAAACATGCATTATCGTCGTTACTGTACACATTGAGGACTGCTTTCTTTAATTGCACTGTTCGAGGTACGGATACCTGACAACCTGCCAATTCCCAACTCAGTAGCGACTAAAATGTTCGCTGCAGAGGGAAAAGCAAATATGCAAAAACAGTAAAAGAGAGAGAAAAAATACATATCTCTCTCTGTCCGCATCGTTACTGCAAAGAAAAAACCGGATACGGAGACTTCCAAAAATCACTTATCATGGAAAGGATGTGGCAACAAACCGTAGCAAGGCGGAAAAAATGCGTCTCTCTCTGTCCTTATCGTTTGCAAGAGAGAACAACAGCTGCAATGCATCCATCTCACTCTCTCGCTCTCTACAATATTATACCGAGATAAAAAATATTACTTTAATAAATCTTAATGAGACCAAAATCCTGATATCAATTCGCAAGCGACACCCCCGGGTAAAGCATCCGCGAGTCTCTCCGGATACAAAACCACATACTTCTATAAATGCATCGTGCCTCTCTTCAGAACACTTCCTCAACGAGCGAGAAGTCCGCATCGTTTGCAAGACAGAGAAAAACCGCTGCAATGCATCCCCACTCCCTCGCTCTCTACAATATTATACCAAAATTCCGATATCGCTTCGCAAGATAAGCAACTTCCGGGTAAAGCATCCGAGAGCCTC